AAATATTGTATTGTATCGGAACAAAAAGTGTTTCAACTTACCCCAACATACATTGGCTGCAGATATTCTTTCACATACGAGACGTAGTGTTGGTTGTCAATTAATGTCAAAGGCAACTCAGCACCAGCAACAAGTTTCACCATTCCAGTTAGAGCTCTCTCCTCCGAATACACCCATGTGGATAGGGATGCAGCAGAACCACCGGCGTCTAGATTGTCAAATTGCAATTGTGTTTGACAGCCTGGAATAAGTCCGTGTTTGGCCGCACATAGCCTGGAATAAGTCCATATTTGGCCGCACATACTTTGTAATGACGGTTGAGATGGGTGGTACAAATTCCTCTTTGCCATGCCAGTTTTTGTTGGTAGTATTTACATACTGCTTTGGATTCTTGGACTCCATTGACGATTTTTCCCGTTGAAATCAACTTAAAGTGATCTCAACATTTTGCTTGTTTTTTCCCTTCGCTTTCCCCTCGCATCAGGAATGTTTAATTCAGCCTCTTATTCCTGATCGTGTTCCGCTTCGAGAACGTCAACATCATCCAAATTAATTGGATAATTTGGATTGCTGCTTACATGATGATGAAGATCCAAATCTGGAATATCTTCAGGTAGGGGTACGTCATTTAGACCTTCAAATTAATTCTGAAATTGACTTTGCGGTGTCATAGGCGATTCGTTTCCTCCCACATCGAACAAGTTTTCGACAAATGTGCGTGGATCCATTTGTTTAATTGTAATAAGTAATAACTAGTAAAAGAATAATTGTATAAATGTAGTAAGAAATGAAAATTTGATGAAATTTCGATAAATATATTGAGAACTGAGAAATGAGAATTAGATATTATATAAATTGTATATAAAAATTGCACAACTATCAACACAACACAAGAGAATTGAGAGTTGAGAGTGAATTGTAGAAAATTTTGTGACTAAATGCTACTATTTATAGAAGAAAAAAATTAAAGGACCAAAACGGTTACTGAAAAAATTCAGTGACTGTTAATGGTCACAAATTATAAAATAAATAAATTCAGGGATCGAAACGGTCACTGACAAAAGTCAGTCACTGTAACAGTCACCGATAAAGTGACCGTTTCGGTCACTTTCCAAAATGAGCCCACGAGCCTTCGTTTTTCAACGAGCTCGTGGCTCGTTTAAAATGATTTTGCGAGCCGAACCTGCTGGCTCGCGTTCGGACTCGTGTTTTTACGACCCTGAGCCGTTCATGAACTCCATTTTCGCGAGTCGACAAGTCGCTCGGCCCACTTATCATCCCTAGTGTGTCCTTTCACCTACCACCCTTCAACTTCTATATATAGGACCATTTGGAGTTTTATTTTCATTCTATATATAAATTATTATTTCATGTCATGTTGCACAAAACACTTATAGATGTGATTCCATTTTGCATCAAAATCATGGTTATGGTAGAGAGGGAATTTCATTCGAGTTCGTTGGTCGAAGTCATTTGGAGTGCTCCTATGATTTAGTCGTTATACCTTGAGAGAGGATTGCTGAAAAATCGTTAGCACCGATGCGAGGCAAATTCATCTTAAGGACAAAGTGTCTAACACTTGCCTCGACCTAAAATCCATCACTTGTATTCTCTTGTTTCATTTTCTGATTTCTTTTATTATACTTTGATTTCAGAAATTGATTAACATTGTTTATATGTTTATATTGCAAGGTTCCATCCAAAGAATGATTTGCTTTCGTTCAAGAATCGGAAGGGATGAATCCATATTGATACGTTCTGATTCGATAAATTCTTATTTTGTCTTCTCAAATCCCATCTCAGTAAGTCGAAATTATGTTTCAATTTCACGCAAATAAACGACATAATTTTTATGAATATAATATGAACAATTATTGGTGTAATTTCTCTAACATGCAGTAATTTTATGTGTGCGTAAATTGGCATTATTCTAGTCCAGACAAGGGTACAAAATTCCAGTGGGCTGAGTTTTGGCGAGTTGGCAAAAGTGACTAGGATGAAGAGACTGTGGGAAAAGATGGAGAAAACCTTGAATGTACAAGAAGAAGGCAAGTAGGCACTTAAAATTGAAAAACCTTGAGTGCAATTAAAATAAGCTCCCGTTTAGCCCCCATTTTTTCAAATCAAAATGGAGAAAATAGCATTTTTTTTTGGAGAATGAGTGGTTAAAAAAGAAAAAAAAAACTTTCGATTTATATGTAATATTATCTTATGAAAAATTGTGTGATTGAAAATAAGACAAAGAAAAATGAAGTTTAATTTAATGGGAGCAAAATGGGGGCTAAGGGCAATGCTATGCATATCTAACCGTTTACACATGATCTTACACTCACCTCACTTGGCGGGGGCCCACACACAATAAAATATGTATGGCTATGTGTCTTTAAGGTGTACATGTAACATTATTCTTTAATTGCAAATAATAAAAATTGTGGTTTGTATATAATTACTTTTTCCTCGAACAAAAAAGTTATGCTACCTACCCTCACATTTTTTTTAAAACTAATTATAAATTTTTTATTGTAATGCTTTGAGTTCGTTTGGAGCCCACACATTGCCACTTAGGAAGTATTGGCCATGTAGACGGTTGGTCCTTGCCACTCGAAGACTTAGCTTGACCTTGACGTGTCTCGCATAATAGTAATACAACAACATGATCCATCAACCTTGCACTTATGACAATATCACCTTATAGCCCATAGGGTATTCACATTAAGATGGGCTTTTTGCCAAGCATCGCCTTTAGGCAAACCTTGCACACGATCAAATGGAATTGATGAGCTCCACTGGGTTTAGCAAACGAAAACTCGTGGGCGAGGTCCCATGCCTTAAGTTCTTAGTTTTTGTATTATGATAGCTTTGGTTGACGGATTGTAGATTCTATGGGTGGATATGGTTTCATTTGATTCTAATTTCAAGAGAATTGGACGGAACTATGAATAATATTTTTTTTAACAATGAAACCAATGGTGTTTTTATAAGATATGAAACCAAATTGTAATCAATCCATTAGGTTCTAGTTTGGTTCAGCTCCATTAATTAATTTTTCAATTAACAAATGCAAATTAAATTCTATTACTATATTATAAGTTAGTAATACATATCTAAATAATAATAATAAAAAAAAGAATAAACTCAAAACATTCAAAAAATCGAAATTATTAATCATCAAATGAATTCTGCAATAAAATTAATTCACAAAAGTTCAAACTAACAACTAAAATATAATAATAAATTGAGTACACAAGCATCAAGTTTTATCCCCGTACAAAAATATTGTCTAATAATAATGATATACTAATGTAGACGAATGAGTCACCTTCAATAATTAATAATATCAAGTTCCATCTTTATGGTCCGTCCAATCAATTCCTTTACATGAACTAGAATTTAAGATATAGGAATTGACCTTTTGTCTGATGGATGATAAGCTAAAATACTAAAATGTAATGGTATATATATTGCACAAATCACCAACATTTGATCACAGAGGATTTTGATGAAGGTTTATGAGACCCCCGCTCAGAAGTTGATATCTTCGGCTCCGTCGATTTGGATTCAATACTTCATCTATTAGTGTTTGAAATTTTTTAGGGCCTGTTTGATGGGCTTTAAATTCCATGAAAAATGAAAAACGAATTCCATTTTCCACCAAAATGATGTGTTTGATAAGCAAATTTTTCCGTGGAATTAGTTTTTCATATTGTCCCCCGTCACGTGACCCTGTTTTAAAGGAATTGGTTTTCCTTTGATTTTGATGAAAATTGATTTTTCAACTTTTTTTTGACAATTTAAACAAATTTTATCCACAATTGTAACAAATTTTATCATTTTAATTGACAATTTTCACGAAAAATAAAGCCAAACGAACACCAAAAGGTAAAACTTTTCAACATTTTTCAGGTGAAAAATTATATCATTCAAATACATTTAATTGACAATTCTCTCAAAAAATAAGTTTTAGGCAATTCAATTCCCTAGAATTCGTTATCTTTCCATCCAAATTCTATTTTTGCAATCAAAAGGGCCTCTAATTTACTTTGATTGCCAACGTAGGCTTGTGGGTGGAAGTGGAGTTAATGACAATGATGATAGATTCGGTGATGATTGAAAGAAAGATGGAGCAACAGAGATTGGGTAGTGTTTTGAGTTTACATACAAAATATTTTAGGGTTATGCTACATGTACATCAGGTGTTCATAATGGTGTCTACCAATCTCACATAAATGGGGACCCACTATTATGGATATCGCATTATATACAAATAACATATTTTAGTATTTTATTATGAAAACGTGTGATTAAAAATGAGTTTAAGACAAAATGACTTCAAATTTGCTTTGGGTAGCAGTTCTCAAAAGACTTTCATTCTAGCTACGCCCTCGTTTGGGCCCCATTTTTTGAAATAAAAATGGGTGGAATAATATATTTTTTTCGAGAAACGAGTGATTGAAAAAAGAAGAAAAATTTTTAGTTTACGTATAATATTATTTTATGTAAGATTGCGATTGAAAATAAGAGAAAGAAAAATAAAATATAATTTAATGAGGGGGCAAACGACGGCTTATTACATTAAGGTCCCGTTTGGTATCCATTTTTTTCAAAATGTATTTTTTTCTCTCTTCTTTTCAACCACACATTCTTTTTTAAAATAATATTACACGTAAATAAAAAAATTTTCCTTATTTTTCAACCACATATTTCTCATCAATTTACTATTTAAAAATGTATTTTTATATAAAAATATCTCCCAAACACCGCCTAAATTTTATTACATTTTATTTTTCTTTCTTTTATTTTTGATTACACAATTTTCAATAAAATAATATTATACGTAAATCGAAAAATTTTCCTTTTTTTTAACCACTTATTTTTAAAAAAAATATTATTTTTTTAATTTTCATTAAAAAAAATGGAGGCCAAACGGGGCTTTAGCCCCTAGAAGGGGGTCCAATGGTAATCAAACATGGGCACAATATGGGGGGAAGGGGGTCCACTTATTTTGAACTCACTGGACGCTCAAACCAAAAACGGAAAACGAAAAGCAAGTCATTGCGTCGAATTCAAACTCGCTCAAATTCTCGCTCTCGATAAATTTCAAAGAAATGGTAAATCAATTTTCGAATTATTGAATAACTTTGCACAGCATATTTGTATGAGTTTTATTAAAATTTAAGATGAAGTGTTTCATGTTCTTTTCACTCTCGTTTGCATGTCGTAGATTTTGCCTTCTGTTTTTCGTTTTGAACGCCGCGTGATTTGAACGCGTTTTGTTTTCTGCTATTAATTTGAGAGTACGTATTAAAATCATGGTGAAATGAGTTTATTAGGATGATATTTTAGTGTTTATTTTCATTTTGTTTGGGCAATTTTCTATAAAGTGAAATTGATTTTAGTAATTTTATTCATATTTTGAATTTTGTGGTTACTTTTCCTCTGAATAAAGGGATTGAGTTGTTTCAGATCGACATAATTTTTTTCCCGATATTCAAAAGCAACTTATTAAGTTGGATTTGAAAATTTGTATTTGTCTATATTCTTTTAGATCCTTAATTGTTAAAGAGTTCGTGCTACGCCTTTCCAAGTACATTTGTACATTGTGTTCTTCTTTTAAATGCCATAGATAAAGGAGTTCCATAATTGTATAGAAATAACAATCATTATGGATTTGGATATTATAATCTGTAGCCTTGGCTTATCTTAAGAATGCTGCTATGATGTGCTGCAGTGGTCTTTATTTAGAGAATATATAGGTGTATTTTCCATTTTGGAACGGTTATACATTTTTATTTTAAAATTACTTATACACAATGTGGTTTATGTTATGGTGATATATAATCCTTTGTTGCATCTAGATCTGTGATTTTTCTGTTTGCTAGTATAATTTCACGTCGGGACTAGAGAGTATATATAAGATTTTCTTAGATGGATCAGGAATATAGTTCAAAGAGACTGCTTGCGTGAATTTGTGTTTTCTCAGTGCTGATTGTATGTAGGTGAGGCCTTGTTTGATGGTGTATATTCTGTTTTGGGCAATAAAATTGTTATGTTATAAAAACTGTTTAAGTGCTTCAATGATGTAAAAGTCTTCTAAATTTTCTAAAATCACAGGCAAATATATGTTCGAGAACATTGGGAGTGCTGTTCTATGTAATAAAAAATATATACCATGTCAATAATTCAGTGGAATCTCGAGCGAATTCAAACTGTCCATGAGTTCTATGATACAAAAGCAGATATTTTAGGTTGATATAGAGGGCTGAGCAATTCAAGAGTTTATGTTCTCCAGAAATCTAAACTAAAGTTGTAGGAAAGAAACGTCAGTTGGGAGTATTAAAAATGTTTTTTCTTGATAAACGGGATATACAATATTAAATGCTTCTGTTGGCAGTTTTCATATCTTATCTGGGTAGATTGAAACATGGTCATAGGTGAATCTGGTTGCAAACTAGCAAAAGGGATACTAATCCTGATTCTTGCATCTCTATACATTCTACTAGATTCCTAGTTGTTCAATTGATGCGTCCATTTTTCGTTTTTCATACTTGTTACGTAGAAATGGATGCTTATATTTCATTTGTGTATGGCTTGCACTTCTTACCGTTACTTAGCAATATTTATGCAGTCTCTCACTTTCTTTCCTGGCAGGATGGGCATGATGCGGAGAATTCAAAACAAAGCACCGCTGATATGACTGTGTTTGTAAGTACTATCTGTTATATGCGCTTTTCGTAAATCATCAGATAACTTTTTCCTTCTGTATATCTGGTTGACTATTGTATTATTAATGGGTTATTTGTTCTGCTTCTCATAAGTTTTGTTTTGAGTATCTTTTTTAGTTATAATTTAATTTAGCATCATCACATTTATTTTGGGGATTAGGTGAGGGTGCATCTGTTTTAAGTCATTAAACTTATGAGACTAATCCTGCTGCCATCCTTTTTTATTTTTGTTGTTCAGGTTCAAAACCTTCTTCAGAAAATGGTGAGTTACTAGTACGCTAGCTCTCTCTCTCTCAAGATATCTAATTGGCTTATAATATACTTCTCTTTGCAGCAAACCCGGTTTCAGGCAATGTCTCAATCTATTATTTCCAAAGATATCCTTCGAGTATATATTTATTGTATTTTCCAATGCATGATAGTATAATTTTTTGTTGTGCACGAATGTGAATAGATGCATGATCTGATAGAACTGTATATTGTTGAATTCAACAATGCTTGCCCGTCATGTGCATTGCTTATCATTTTGAAGCAAACTTTCTGTTTGGCGCAAAGTGAATCACTCATATTT